ATCACTCCCCTTTTAAACTTTATTCATTTTTTACTGTCATATAGTATTTCATACCTGTTTTTCATTTATTCTCTTATTTTTTTATAACTATAATGATCATATAAACGTGTGCCTCGGAAATAATTGTTTACATTAATGGTGACCAAAACGTTTGAGACCCACTGAGATAACACTGAGAGAGTCCTTTAGCTCACTGAGCCTCTCAGTCTGACAGGAGAGGACTCTCCTCCACTTTGTTGTTGAAAAAACTCCTTATATCTGTTAGCGTAGCTCGCTAGCACCAGAAGCTAACAACAACGATCTCCGGTACCGGTGCTCTCTCTCTCTCTCTCGCTCGCTCACGCACACAAAATGGCTCGTTCCACACACACAGAGCCGAGCTTTAATGAAACACAGAGACCCAGACGTAATAGTACTGTATCATATTATTTTTGAATCAATACTTTTTTTTTTTATTAATTTTGTTTTTAATCTTTTTTTTTTATAAAATTTTTTTTTTTTACTTTGAGAACCACTGCTGTACAGTAACATTAAAACTAAGCTCGGAAATCAACATGCTCAGTAAAATGTTTTAAAAAAATAAATCGAAAATTAAGAGAACAAGGTTTACAAAAATACACTTTAAAAACACGTTGACGCTAAAAAATATCCGGCTTTTCAGCGGCTAAGATAAGAGTTGTTTAAATTAAAATCAGAGGGTCATATCGGAGGATTTCTGACGTCAAATTTCGATTATCCTTCACTCAAAGCCCCGGCATGATGTAGGCGATGTTGTCCAACGTATTAGACTGTCAGAGAAAAAAAGAGGAGAGCTTTGTTAGATAACAGCAATAAAAGTGAACATATATGAAGTGTTTTTAAAACAGCTGGAAACACCTGCATACAATTATATATATATATTTATATTAAGCGTTGTACTTTACCAGGACGTTTCGAGGGCAGCCGTTGAGTTGCGGTATCTGAGCAGTGAGACAGGTCAGCGGGCCCAGAGCACACAGGATGGAGTCGAGGAGGACAGACAGGCTGCCGGACACCGCCACCATGCCCTAACACAGAGATTTAGAGAAGAGAAGACTTTATTGATCCAACATTGGGAAATGATGTTGTTACAGCAGCAGGGTAACATGCCGAGTCGTAGAGTGCCTAAAGAGCAGGCAGTCAAATATACAGAATGAGTAAGAAACACTGCAATTGACCAACACACCAACCAGAAAGGAATATCAGACTCACTTATTTCACTGCATAGCAAAGGAAAGTCACTTCAAATTCAAGTTTCTTTCTTATTGTGTCAATGTTTTGGGCTATTTCGTATGTTTTGGTTTTTATGTAGAGGCAAACTGACGTGCAAACACAGAAGTGCCATTTTTTATTTCCCTTGTCTCAAAGTCTAAAGGTTTCTGGTTCAAATAATACATTTTTGTTTTTCGAAAACATAAAATACATCAACAACTTATCATGTGATTGTTGTGAACTTTGTTTAAAGCCTATCGTTAGATTTGTGTTGACACTTGTATTGAGAAGATTTGGTGTACAGAGTTATTGCAGTCGGCATGGAATGTTTTCCTGTATTGGTCTGTTGGGAAAACACTGAATGTCCTCTTCCAATATGATTACAAAGATTACTAACATGATAACAAAGGTATCCCAACTGTAGCTGTGCACATTAGGGCTGTACCCAAATATCCGAATATTCGTTCGTTGGAGTACTCTTCGGGTTTCAATTTCGTTATTCGGATATTCGTTTTGTTTGTTTTTTCCCCGTTTTTTTTTCAAATTGAATTTATTGAAAACTCCAATATCAACTTAAGAGCTTGTGCCTCTTCGGGGGGTGCTAACACTTAACCATAAACGTTATTGTTTACTTTCTCCGTCTTTATATGTAGATATTACTTTTCTCCGTTAATCTCCGTCACGTTGTTTCCATAGCAACAACAACAACCTCCTGTCAACAGCGCTACCTCTCCTTCAAAATAAAAGCATGTCCATAAATAGGAAGCCAAGCCAAATTACACGTAAGGTATATACAACTGCAACGAAAGTAACAAACACAATGCCATATCCTTTTCAATTTCAAAGAACACAAATTGGGTTACATTAACAAATAACTATAAAACAACAATACTGTAGAATAACTAAATGAATGCCGTGAATAAACCGAAATACACGTGTTGAAGCGGTTCGCTGCTGATTACTGCATGTGAAGGACACTGTTCAGGAACTAGCTGATGCTCTGTATGTGAGGACTACTTCCATTCTGGAGAGGATCACAGATACATGGATCCTGAGACTGAAGCTCAAGACATACGAAGGTGTATTAACATTAATTGGCTAAACGTGGAACAGATTGTAGTAATATTAGTTTGTAATTTATAAATCAAAAACCAGACTAGGTGTCAGAAACCACTCCGATTCGTTTTTCGTACCCGCCTCCATTAGCCTTCCGCTACGGTCTCTTTCTGTTCGACCACTCAAAGAATTTTATTCTTATCTATACTATATTATACTTAGTCTCCCTACTTTCGAGAAATTACAAGAGTGTACGTCTCAGTGTGTCACCTTGTACACAAGAGACGAAGATTGGAGTAGGATACATGGCTCCTCAGATTATCCTCGTCACCCGTACGAGAAACATGTCGGCGGCGCCCCTCCGTTACCCTCATCCCCCCCTTCCCCCTACAGGGTCACGGGAACGAGGTTACCACAGATGGTGACGTCCTGCCTCCACTGACCCTGGAAGGTTTATCGTCAGGTGGAGGTATGACGATCCAGGGACAAGCCCCTGGAACTTGGCCGCTGGGATTTGCCGAGGGGTCAGGTTCGCGCGGGATGGAACTGACTCTGACGGTATAATTTGATTTATAATGTGGGCACAAGAGACAATTCGGAGAAGGCTACAGCACAACCCTCGAAATTGGCACGAGAAGGCACACGTCACACCTTCGGTCTGCCGAGTCATAGACGTCGTGTCTTGTGCTTTTTCGCTCCGTGCTGGCGCACGTTTGTGTTTCTCGCGTGGGGCTCCCCTTCTCTTTTCCCATCGTGCGGTCTGCAATACCATTGTGAATCTAAGTACATGTGTATAAGTGGTAGTCGATCAACAAGTAATTGTGACGTATAATTTCGGTTTGATGATCGGATAATCCCCTTGTAGAAAGAAGACTTAACTTTTATGGAGTAAGAAACTCAATTAATCTAGTCGTTACTTGTGAACATCAAAAGTACAGAACAATCGTAATTCTCATCTTAGTATAAACAACCAACAATAACGTACCCCTCTGCAATAGACAAGAACACCATGCGTCTATAACTCGTATAATTCTGGTTGTCGAGTAATCATTGTTGTTGAAGGAATGCATGGTTATTTTATTGTCATCGAATAATCTCCCAATTGAACTTACTTTTTTAGTAATCGATACACGAAATAATGAACATCTTATACCCAGTACCATCTTATTCCGAAAATTATTTCACAAATTATTACTTTGGTTATTTCTCGGCTATAATGGACGATTATAGTTACAATTATAATTGGTTGATCAACTAACCCCCCCCACCTTTAACACATATATATTTCACAATGGATGAAATGAATATGTAAAATATAACAAACGTAGCTAAGTCAACAGAACACAGAACAGACAGTCTCTTCTTGGGTAATAAATAAAATAAGAATAATAGTATGGAAACTGGGGAGGAACACAGAGAATTGGAACTAGTTTACAATATAAAACGACGTACATGGAATTGTACATTAGACTCCCTTTGAAGAATAACATATAAAATTACCGCTACACAGTAAAACATTTCGACGTACAGAACATACTTTTCACTTTGTATTTATTCGAATTATAATATTTAAAATATTCGTGTAAGAGTATGGGAGTCCATTGTTGTTTCACCGAAGTGTTTTTAGTTTGTTATGATAGAGAGGGAAAGGGTCAAAGTATTTGTTTCGTTGTGATATTGGAAACACTAAATATTTTTTGTGATTTATCGTTGTCATTTGAGTTGATTTGCCACTGACCTCAATATTGTTCACACAACAAGTACATTCTCATTGGTAGTCCTCCGTCCTGTCCCTACGCGACAAGGGGGTCGTCTCGTCGGGACTTTGGAGCAGGAGACAGAGGCCGATCTCAAGGAACTCCACCTAGGGTAGCTACGTTCCGGCGAGCTTGGACGTCGACGAGACTCTTAGGGACAGAGATAACCGTAAGCCGACCGTCCTCTGACCTCCACCTCAGACCAGTGGCCTGTACACCAATCCTT